TATCAAGGCTGATGACAAGATTATTACTGATAAGCAAAGCATTTCAGAATAGTTTAACTCTTTCTTTACATCTGTTGTGAACAAGTTATTTGAATCGTGCAGGTATACCAGTTTTAAAATCTACAACTGAAGAGAGCACAGTTGTGATAGCTGACTGTGTAACACATTTGGTAAATCTCTCCATTAAATCTGGTACAGTCCTGTCTGAATGGAAGCAAGCAAAGGTTGTACCCTTGTTCTGGAAACAAAGATGATCTGGACAATTACAGACCTATATCAATTTTACCGATCTGGTCGAAAATTCTTGAGAAAGCTGTCTTCCATCAGCTACATAGCTACCTATCAGAAAACTCCCTCCTCTCGCCATATCAATCAGGTTTTCGCGCAAATCATTCAACTTGATTGGCCATTACCTTCCTTACAGATAAAATTCATAGACACATGGAGAATGGGCTATTGATGGGGGCAGTGTTTATCGACCTGAAAAAGGCCCTCGATACTGTTCCTCACAATGGTCTTTTAAACAAGTTGTTTAGATATGGAATTCAAGACCAGCCTCTCTCATGGTTTGAGAGCTGTCTCAGAGAATCTTCTCCACCATGCACACCTTGGGGTCGTTACTGTTGGACTCGCCTCCTATTTGGCATTAGTTCAGCGCCTGAAAAATTTCAACAACGTCCCCATGATGAACTCTATGGAGTTGAAGGTGTTGTAAACATTGCTGATGACATCATTGTCATTGGTCAGGGTGAGTCCCTGGGAGATGCTACTCAGGATCATGATTGCACTGTGCTGCATTTGCTAAATTGTCTCAAGATGGTCGGTTGCTATATAAATTCCTCCCGTCACTATCTTAGAGGTCGCGTGATGACACGTTCACAGCTTGAGCAGATTTAAGCATTAAGCTAAAGGGCTTTTTTCAGTCACTTACTTTACATGGATAAAGCTCCCTAATCTTCTTTTTTTTTCACATTGAACTTAGTCGATGTTGAGTATTTTATTTCATCTGTGGCCCTGAAGGAGACCATAAATATTGCGGAAAAAGCCGAAAAAGCCGAAAATGCAGCAAAGAGAAAGGCCATGTGGGCAAATGTGATTTGAAACAACAAGTACATCGTTTCTGGGAAACATCGCCTATTTTTAACATTCATAGGGAGCACCAAATGCTCCAAGAGAACTTTCGCCAGTTTCAAGTCCAAGAAGATGCTTTATCTAAGTAGGAACAAGATATCTTGGCTTTGCAAAGGGAGACAGATGCTCTAGTGTAGGAATCAGGTTAGTTTCCTGCTTGTAAGTGGGTTAGTTGCATTTATTTGCCGTTTTGAAATTGTCGTAATTTTGATGATGATTTCCTATCCTTGTTTATAGAAAGAGGAGTGCAAAAATCAAAGGGAGTGAAAGAGACACTAGACAAAAAAATAAGTGAAGCAGAGGAGACACTGAAAGAACTAAAGGAAGGCTATTGAGAAAGTATAAAAGCTGTTGCAGCAGAAGGATTATTCCCAAAGACGTAGGAGTGCTGCTACCACATCATATGAGATGATTAATGATTACAATTTGAGCACTACATACAGGAGAAGGGAAGAAACTAAAAACATTTTAGAATTCATTCATAGGGATTTGAAGCTTCGTTGTATGGGACATGGGATTTTTTGGCTGCCAATGCAAGTCATGAAACCATGAGCAAATTAATGAGTAATTATAAGAGAGGCCAATTTCTTCAGGGTATTTTTGAGAGAGCCATTAATGATTATCGGAAGTCAGAAGAAGTTCTGAAACAGTCTTTGGCACTTAAATATCACAGTTATTTGTCTAGAGGAAAGTACAATCTTGTCTGTAAAACACAAAGTTCATTTTTTAATGCTGAAAAAGAGGTCTGGCTGCCATGCAACATTAATTGTCTTGGAGTTGACTTAAGGTTACCCAAGCTCAGCTTCTCAGATGACAATGTTGACAACTTTGTGAAAAGTTTAGACATTTGTCATATCACACAGATCCCAGGGGTATCAGATGTTTCTCTCACAGTCACTGGCTTGGTGTTTATGATTATAGCTTTGCACTTGAGGGTTCCCCATCTTTCTCGTAAACTTGTCTGGTTCAATGAAAATGAAAATCATTTTATTTTTCAGTTCTCAGATGATGGAGCTCCTGAATCTGAATCCTGAAAGTGACAAGGCTGTCTACTTGTTTTGGTTTTCAAGGAACTGTGCTTAAGTGGCTGAAATCATACCTGTCTTCACGTAAGCTGTTTGTTAAAGTTGGGAATAGTCATTCTTCACAACGTGCATTGAAGTGTGGTGTCCCTCAGGGATCAGTTCTGGGCCCTTTGTTGTATTTGTTATACACATCACCTATTGCGGACATAATTAATGATCATGGACTATCATACCATCTATATGCTGACGACACCCAATTATATATTACCTTTAAATCTACCAGCTTGAATGACATCCAACAAGTGAAGTTGAGAGTGGAATGCTGTGTGAGGGACATTGATGAATGGATGATAAGAAACTATCTTAAACTAAACCAGGACAAAAGGGACCTTGTAGTCATCAGTTCCAGATTCCATCCCATGCCTGACATCGGTCACATTACTGTTGGTTCTGAGTGCATTGCACCTCGTGACTCTGTTCGTAATTTAGGGGTTCAGTTTGATAGCATATTTAGTTTTGAGGAGCACATTAAGAACATTTGTAAATCATCATTCTATCATGTGAGAAATATTGCTAAAATCCGCAAGTACTTAAGCCAAGATACATGTAAAATCTTAGTCCATGCATTTATTAGTTCGAAACTTGATCACTGTAATTCCTTATTACATGGCCTTCCTAAGTATCTGTTAGCTAGACTACAGGCAGTTCAGAATGCTGCAGCTCGTGTTGTCACATTGACACCGAGGCATGTTCATATAACTCCTATTTTAATTAATCTTCATTGGTTACCAGTTGAGTTTAGAATAACTTTTAAAGTCCTTTTATTGGTATACAAGGCCCTTCATGGCCTTGCACCTTCTTATATTTCTGACCTTTTGAATTTTAAAACATACTCTAGGTCATTGCGTTCTTCATGTAAAGAATATTTAGTGGTTCCAAGAAGCAGATTGAAAACATATGGAGACAGAGCTTTCTCTATTGCAGGACCTAAATTGTGGAACGATTTACCTCTAGAGATTAGGAAATGTGCTTCAGTGGCAACTTTTAAGCAATCCCTTAAAACTTTTTTATTTAAGTTAGCATATAGGTTATGAGATTCCTTTTGTTTTGAGATGTTTTTGATTTATATAGTAGATAACTTAGGCTATATTTGAATTATACTGTATATTGTAGATATTTTATATTTTTTATATTTTATTTTGTAATTAGGTAGCGCTTTGGACAATTATTGGATTTTAGCGCTTTATAAATAAAATTATTATTATTATTATTTATTTTATTATTGAATCAAATGAGCCGACAATGTCAATTGAAAGTATGGTTTGCAGGAACTTTGGAAATCAGGTACGAAATAGGGACTTCCAGTACCTCCTTCACTGTGTAAGTATAAAAGAGAAAGATCAAATAATGCATGACCTCTGAAAACAGCAGACTGAAGAGATGAAGATGTTGGAAAGTAATGTTTTGACTGTTTTTGATAAGGAGTGCACTGTTGAATTTCAGCCAGAGCAGACATGTCCTGGCAGAGCTGGGCTGCCAATGAACTCAACCAGGTAGCTACATATCCTTCCCCATATGTAAATGTTCATAAAGGAAACGATTACTATGGGGGTAGTATTGGACTGACCTGCCTGTTAAAGCGTGAAAATCTGGCAATAGAATTGAATGTGGTATCTGTGTGTATTACAATGGAAGAATTGTCTTTGTCTGTGGAAATTTCCAAAACGTTCGGCTACTTTCACTTGTTGGATCATGCCAAAAAGATGATTTCAAAATTTGAAACGAAGAGTACCATAAAATTTTCCTGTTACAAGGCTGACAAGGACTTTGGAAATCATGGTATATACTATTGAAGTTAATTATTGACTAAATTAACTATACTTGATACTTCATGGTATATACTATTGAAGTTAATTATTGACTAAATTAACTATACTTAAACAGGAACATAATTTGTTCATGCAGAAATATAAACTTCCATCTTCAATTAAGAATTTTATTTCTTAATTTCCAACAGTTTCTGCTACTTTTGGGCATCCACTCAATAGGATAGCTTCAGCTGTTTGAACATATGCAACTCTTTAATTATCACTAATTTCCCCTTTCATTTCTCATTTGGTTTTGTTACCAGCTGTATTTCTTTATCTCTTTTTGTAAATAAGTATATGTGCGTTCAAAATAAAACTTATCATCTCTTTCAACAATATATTGCCGCATGTAAGACTGTGAGCGACCAACAGATCTTTCAATGTTTTGGTTGCTGGCTGTCTATAGATTACAGGAAAAGGAACCACAGACTTTACTGGGAGGAGCCCAAAGAGGTCACTGGTAAGAAAATAGAGTTTACAGGAGTACCCTTTTATATTATGGGCTGCAAGCTCTTTGACTGCCAACATGGGAAAGACATGAAATGCTGCCCTAAAAAGAAAATAACAGCAGCAACATGACAAGGTTAGTAAATATATCAACAACCCTGGGGTTATATGATACCTCCAAATACAATAAATTACTATATTTCATACTTTGATCCAAATTACTAGGAGGTTGTGCATATCAACCTCATATATGTTGTTTTGTCTGTCTGAAAAAAAAATTGATTCCTTGTGCAACCATCCAAAAAAGCAAATTGTCCATCAAGGTTGAAATTAAGGGAGGTGGTAGCGTTTCCAGATTACAAGGTAAATAACTTATAAAATAATGCAAAAAGACAAGCTATGTTTTGCCATAACAATACCAATACCAACAACAACAATACAGTGTAGTAATAATAATGATGATAATGTCATGATGATGATGATGATGATGATAATGATAATAATAATAATAGTAATATTATTATTATTATTAACAATATCATTATTTTTTCATTGTTATTAATACTATATTACTACAGTAAAGAATTAGATTCATTAAAATTTAATGCAATTTATGGCATCCTGTTAAGTTCTAAAAAGTTTTCCTATTATCGTGGAGTGAGTTTGGGTTTTGGTTGAGGGTCGAGGGTCGAGGATACAAAGTTGAGGGTCTAGGGTAATACGTCGAGGGTCGAGGGTCGAGGGTAATATGTCGAGGGTCGAGGGTAACATGTCGAGGGTTCTTAAAAATGAAAGTAAAATCATAAAAATAAAACGAAAAACGAGTTTGGGATTTGGTCTTTATGCTAACAAGAGTGTTAACGTACCTTTAGGTCATGATAAAACTAATAAATAAATAAAAATAAAAATCAGAATAAACAAATGAAGAAATAAATAAATGTACACGAGCCAAACGGAAGTTTGGTTGCATTGGATGGAACAGATAAAGCATTCAGTACAAATTTTTATTTTAACAAATGCAGAGCAAATATTGCAATCATTTTTTTTTTTTTTGCTTATACTTTTTAGATTGGGGTCGGATATGTGGTAGATGCCCCGTACCCCTAAGGTTATACAGTTCAAATCTTCCAAAATACATTAATTAAAAGTGCGGTTTCGAGGGTGCATTTTTTAAATTGCCCTTTTGAAGGCAGTAAATGATCTAAAAAAATTGATTCGAAAAGTTAACGTAATATTACTGACTAAATAATGAGTTTTTCGCCAGTCGTCTTTGGTTTTATCTTGATTTAGACCAGAACAAAAGAGCCTTTTCGTTCTAGACAATAGCGAGGGCTTGTTTGTTTTTATAGAAGTATACGTCAGATGGTCAAATGTTACAAATTACAAATTACATGCAGGCGTTACAAATCTCACTTTTTAAAGTCAGTTAAAAATCATAAGAAATTCCCCCTAGAATTAACGAAACTTCTAGCCACAGGTTTTAACCAGCTCGTCTTCGGTTTATTTTGCACCACACAGCAAAAGAGCTTTATCAGTCTAGACAATATAGTCTAGACGCATTGACGTGTCTTATCTATACTTCATATGGTCCAATGTACAAAGTATTTCCGTTCGCAGACTTCTTGCGTCTTTCCTGGTTTTACATCAGTGTGAGCGACTGAACACGTGCCCTGTGCTACTGTTACCTTTTTGCAATTTTCAGCGGATCTAGCGCCTTATTCATCTATCAAAGGTATGTTAATAATAATTGTTTAACATAGCTTTAGTATCACCATATATAGTATAGTAGAGTATCACAAGGTATTTCTTATGATTCAATTTTTTAAACCATCTTCATTCTACTCTGCCAGAGGAAAAGCTTTTCAGCCGAACTGTCTGTAGAAAATGAACGCATTTTATGAGCAATGAAATGGTGAGAAATCGAAAATTTAATGGCCGTTGCAGCATTTTGCTGCATTCTTTTTTAAAACTAGCCAGCTACTACGATAAAAGATTCACATTTGATGACATTGTCTTGGCTACTCTAGCCAGGGTTAAACCTATTCTTTCTCTCGCAGAATTACAAATGTGATTATTGCACGGTCAGTTGCCATAATCGCTCAAAGCTTCTTCGACATATAAAGAACAGCCATCCAAAGCCCAAAGGCAAGTCAAAGGTAGCTAACTGCATATGTTGTAAAATTCAAGTGTTATTGGTTAAATAAACTTTGAATAGCCATTGATTACATTTTATTTATGTAGGATGAAGTTGAACTGATGATCATCCACTCTTCCGACGAAGAATTACCTGACAGACCTGAAGCTGTTGTGATCAGTGATTCTCCAGTGGAGAGTCCGGAAAAGAAATTGCTGAAATCGGATCTCAACAAGACAAGGTATGGTACAACAAAACATTTTTTAATTTTGCAATATTGCCCGTTAATTTGGTTAGGCTTTTATTTAGAACATTATAGTTTATTTGTGTTTTCTTTCTTTTCTTTTTTTGTGTGTGGCCAATTATAGACCCCATCTAAGTCACTTTTGGGTAAATGATGTTCATAATCTTAAAGTCCTAAAAAAGTGTGACCCCTAGGGGGGGGGGTACTCCCCTAAAAAAATGACGGGGGTGCTTGTCGTACCTTTTTGGGGGATGAAATTTGTGAATTGGTACCGCTTAGGGTGCTAAAACCTAAAATGACCCCTGCTAGGGTTGTTGCAGTACCTCTTAGGGGTCTGTAAGGTCAATATCGGATAAAATAATGAAAGCCATAGCTGCATTGTTACAAAGACAACTTTTACTTCTCAATTTTTGGCTTGAAAACGGTCATATTATCGGCAACTAATCTGTTATTCTAGAACTGATACCTCTAAGGGGTGTAAATGACTTCGAAGCCACGCCCACAAAATGAGATTCTGGTAAGAGTGTGACTCCATTCTAGGAACTCTATTAAAAGTGCTTGAAAAGGGGACCACGTTGTTGTCAGTCCAGTCGTAAATGCGACCCCATCCAGTGGCACACCCCCTGTAGCCCATTACTGGGAAGCGCCTCGCCCCCACGGGGGTGGGGGGGGGGAGGGAGGCCCAGCGGTAAGAATAAGATAGCCGGTTTTCGGTCAACATTCTGTCCCCTTCTTCCCTGGGAGATTTCGCTGACACTAGCCCTACTCTCCAGACATCCTGGACACACTAACCAGCAAGAATTTCTTCATTAATTCCAGCAGGAATTTTGATACCGCTGACCTGCAAAAGCCGACGGTGAACAAATCTAGGGCTGAAAATGAGAACAACGAAAAAGAGGAGGGCTCAAACAGCAGTTACATCAACAGTGAGAGGTATGCTGAAATCGAAAGTCACAGTGAAGGCGATGACGACGATTTGCTAGACTCAGTTTTTGAAACAAAGCATAAACAGAGAAAAATTACAGAGGAAATGTGGTCTGGAATAAAAGCAGAGTTGGTGAAACATTTACCTGAGGGAGTTGACGGACTGAGAGTGTTCAAGATACCATCAGAATCTCTTAAAAATGAAGGCAAAAATATTTTTAAAGATGGGAGAAACTGGGAAAAAAATTGCCCAACCGAATGGAAAGGCCACCGTCGTGTCAGGTATGCAGACTGCAAAGGATCTAGCAGATGTTGCAATGCACAATGTCCTTTCATGGTGGAGTTCGGTGTTGTAAATACAACACAGTTTAAGAACATGAAAGACGGTGGCGTAATATGCAGTGCTTGCAATCAGCAATCTAAATATGTTGAATGCCTAGCACGGCTTATTACAAAAAAAAGTTCCTCTTGCTGTAATGGAAGCTGAAAAAGAGGACACAACCAACATCGAACTCTTTTGGACACTCTTTAATGAAGTTCTACAAAAAGTTTCCGGTCATAAAGAGTATAAATTTAATCCCCTTGGCTGGTGCACCGACATGGCAGGGGCCAACTTCACGGCACTAATCACAGTGTTTGGTGAGGA